GTCTGCAGGTGATTTGTGACTCCAGTAGGAAAGGATAACAACTCCTAGCCTTTCTGTTTAGGCACATGCCATTTTCCAATTAAAGGTGACCATCTGTTCAGGCATTCTTCTAAAAACGTGGTTACTGTGTGTAATTTTAGCTCTAATACAGGCCATGAAAGTCAATCATTCTCTCATCTCAAAGATATTAGTACTCTTTGTATTACTTTTGAGGTGATTTATTAAAATCAAGATTCAGTCTCCCTGGTTTAGGATAAGTGAATTGCCCTTCCTGGTGCTCTCATGCCACTGGAACTCCCCCATGACAAGACGGGTGTGCCAGTGCTTGTGCAGTCCCATGTAATGCATGGCCCAGGTCGACGTGAGCAGATAAGGGAACTGTGGCTTAGTTAGGGTGGAGAACTGAGTCTGGAATGGGCCATATGCTATATTCCTTCCCCTAAGGAAGGGCTTCCATTGATGTGCTCCCAGAGTTTTTCCCCAAAAGGTCTGTGGTATCTTCAGATTTTATCTGTCATTTGGGCCTCAATATAGCACAGCTGTCTGTACCTGTTACCTTGAATTTTGAAATAAAAACCCTTCAAAACCTTAGGAGCATTTTATTTGCTTCTTTTCTGGGGTCTCATTCTGGGGGGATTCTTCTATTCCTCATTCTGACTAGTGAAGAAGACTTCGAATGTCCCAGTGACGCTCTGCCACCAGCTGAAATCACGGTGAAAGCAGCAGCCCATGATGATTTTACTGTCCGCAAAGCCAGAGCAAACAAAAAGGCTGGTAGCCCCAAGCAAAAGTTTGTGCATTTCGGGCCAGTAACTGAGATTGATCAACAGAAATGGGACAAGCTAATTGTTGGCAGAGCTTCATCCAGGAGTGGAGCAGAAGAGGAAAGCAAGAAAGATGGAGTGGAGAGTCACTCTGGTGTTGAAAGTTCTCCTTCAACCACTATCAGCAGTCTTGGGTTTGCTGAACACAGCAATGAAGTATCTAAGCCACAGAATGAGTCCAGGTATTTGGTGTGGCTTAGGAAGCGCTGCTGAGCTGGAAATGAGACCTGTTCTTGCCACATGCTGATCTGCATGGGGGTGGACTGCAGCATAGACCTAAGAGCTGTTTACGCGCATGGCCTTGTTCAGAAGTCATCTGACACCTTCGTAGTACCTTAACATGTTTAAGGTTACGCAAAACAACACTGTGCAAAAGTCTTCTAAAGGCTTGCCTCAGAATTTCTGATGAGCAGTGAAATCACTGGTATCTCAGAGTCCGAGCTGTTGTTCAAGCCTTTTCTGCTTCTTGAATTCCAGTGGCTTTGCTCTGCCTGCTTTCAGTACATTAGGAATGTTGTTCAGCTTGTTGGCCTTACTGATGTTCAAAAAATGCTTTCTTCAAGCCTAATGGGTTTACTTTCTTTTTGAAGATGTAATGCTGAAACCAAGGTGCATTGGTGCTCTGTGTTTCTGGCATTTATCTGGAGGAGAATTACAGCTCTGGGAAATTAACATATTAACAGAGCTTATATTTATTTGACTTTAATTGCTTAGTCTGTGGCTGTAGCAAGGATTTTTAATGAATGCTTTTAGCAAGCAATTAATTCAGTTAAGTTTGTGTGTTTGTAAAACATTTGCAAACTGAGTTGAAGGACTCCTCTTCTTATGTTTCATTTGACCTGAGAATGTTTTGTCTACCTCACCCCTCAATCTCATCACTAGTGAGGCAGCCAGGTCAGGTACAGATGACTCTTGCAGGAGAATGCTATCACCTGTCCCAGCTTTTGGCATCATCTCTGAGCAACAAACCCCATGCACTTTGAACAAACAGCAAGAAGGCACCAAGGAAGACTCTGATGGGCATTTACCAGACATTGAGAGAGATGATATGTTGGTTAGAAGGATGGGAACTTTTCAGAGGCGTACCACTATCCCCATTCCTATGCATTGTCCTCCCCTGTCGGTAGCTCCTCATCTGCTGCAGCAGCGGCAAGGGGAGGCAGTAGCTCATGAGAAGGATTTGAAGACTCTGCGGGAAGCAGAAAGGTCAGAGAATAGAAGTAGATCTCTCTGAGCCTCATGCCTGGTTTGTGTGTGGCGTTAGCTTGGATCGGTCAGCAGTGTTGTTCCGTTCTTCACACAGCCTTTAAAGATGTGTGTTACTCATTCATTGTGGCATGTGTTCTGTTTTATGAAATTACTTACAAGAATGTGTCCTATGAACATAAACCAGTCTGTTTTCTTTCATAATATTTAAGTACTTCAGTTGTTAATTGCTGTTCAGCATGAAAACAGTCTTTCATCTTTTGGGGGGATTTCTTTTGCAATCCATGGTGCTTTGTCCAGACTTTTGTGCCAGCTTACAAATGAATAATGACTCGCATACATTTTTATGCAATCCCCAACTTATAACATACCACCTATATAAGTGTGGCATTCAAAGTAGTTTCCTCTTGCTCTCGCTCGCTGCACTGTAGCTAAAGATGCTTAGTTGTCCATCACTCTGCAACTGTGTTTTGAGTAACAGTACCCCATGTTGCCTGAGCAGCTGCTTACCTTGGGCCGTACAAGTGAGCATTATCACAGAACAGTGTCACTTGTCTCTCTGAGCAGTACTGTCACACAAGAAGAAAGCCAAGAACATCTTGAAATCCCTCAGCAGCAGAGCAGTGGAACAGAAAACAAAGTGAAATTTCCAGACCCGCAAAGAGATGATATGTTGGCCAGAAGAACTGGAGCTTTTCTAAAACAGCCTGTGCCCAGTGTTAAGCAGTTCCTTCCCATGCCATTTTCAAAGCAGCAGAATAAGCAGGGCACAGCTAGAGAACTTGAGAAGAAAACTACGAGGTAAGAAGGTTGTGATTCTCTCTTTCTCTTGTAGCTGGCCCTGTGGGCTGTTTGTCGAGGTCTCTTGATCTGGAGGAGTTGCTGTTGGCCTAGAAGCAGTTTCTTCCAAGCTTGTCCTCAATTCTGTGCCAACTCTTTCTGCTCAAAAGAAGGCAATGCAGGGTTTCTGGCCCTTTTGGTAGAGCCCTGTAAAGACACAGAGCAAAGATCTACCAAATGGATATGCATAGCAATATTTTGTTACATTTGCAGAGGTTTCTGGTTAAATATGAGCTAACCATTACAAATGTTTCCAGCTAGAAACAGAGGTACTGGATATGGTAGGTTAGATGCTTGTCTATGGCTTAGCTGGTGCCAGTGGCTTCCAAACAGGAAATCTAGAGATCCCGAGATCCCTCCTGATAAGGCTCAGTGTCCTTCTAAGCACCTTTGCTCAGATGAGTAAGGCTATGTGGGGAAGTTGGTGGTTTAAACCTTTGAACAGAGTGATGTGTTGGCTGGTTGAGCCACTGCAAGCAAGAGTGGAAAGGTTCTTATTCATCAGCCTCTTCAAAGTCCATGAGGAGAGAAGGATGTGCATGTACCTGTACATAGACAGATGAAAAACTAGTGTACAGCTCAGCCAGCAGAAGAAAAACCTCTGTCGTCTACCGTAGAATTGAACAGTGGTTTGGTGTTGAGAAGACCTTAAGTTGAATAGCTTAGTTAAAATATGTACTTAATACTTTAAACTTTGGTGATGTCCAGGATGGTTTGTGTTTCTGACTTGGAAGAATGGAAGTATGAGCTCTATATTAAAATTATGTTTTGTGCATCTGCCTCACTTAGCTTGTCACCTATCAGCTATTTGGGTTTGTGGGAGGGGGGAGGTTTGTTAACTTACAGTTATGCTTTTCATTATGTATATGTGATTTTTCAAATGTTGCTTAATACATCTCTTTGCACTGCTGCCTTTGGCTCACTCAGGCCTGAAAAAAGTCCACAAATCTACATTAATAGCTCTGGAAAACCTGTAATACAGCCACCACACGAACGGCAGCAGGGGCAGGAAAAATGCAATCTCCCTCCTGCAGGACAAGATGACACTATTAGTAGTGCCCAAGTGGGTGAAGGTAGCCTTAATGAAGCCCATCTTGATCAAACATCTAAGCTTCAGGAGGTTCCTGAGGAAAACAAAATGGAAACATTGTCATCCAAGGAAGAGCATCTGCAAACGTGAGCTCTGTATGGTGTGAATCACGCAGCTTGTACGCCCCTGTGTGCACACTTTAGAATTCAGATTTTGCATTGCCTGGTGTGTTTTCAGTCCAGACTAAAATACTGTATGTCAGTAATACACTTTTTAGAAACAAGCAGAGTAGTTATGTAACATATAGTTCTCTTTTCTACAGCTACTAAAAGTAAATATTGATTATAGTATATAAATGAATTGCAGAGAAGGTTTATGTGTAGCAGAGGTTCAACTAGACTCTGCTGGGAATCTGCAGAGATGTGTTATCTTGTCTCTCCTATATTAGAAAATATTGCAGTGTTGACTTCTGTACTTGATGTTCTTTTATGATAAATCCCAGATACAAATAAGTGGTTTGCATGACTCTAAACAAGACCGTCACTTTAGTGGATGGCACTGACTTGTGTATTACCAGTACTTTTTTCAGCTGCACACACACAACAAAAAAAAAAAAAAAAAAAAAAAAAAAAAAAAAAAAAAAAAAAAAAAAGGAAATTCTATGGCTCACTTTCTGCCTACATTTATCTCTTCCGTGCCTCCGTAATGGTGATTCTGAGCACTGCTGTGGAATGTAACTGTTAAGACTTGTCTCCATTCATTGCATGTGTGGCAATTAATGTAAATGTTAATATATTGTCTGTTTTCAGTAACTATTTTCTACACACATTTTAGGTATGCTTCAGCAGATTTTTGTAATAGGGGCATTAGTAAGGGGTCAGGGAGGGATGGGTGGTGTTCTTATGTAGTTTGTCATTCAGATGATTAGGTAAGTCCTGTTTGCTGAATACATACTCCCTGAGCAGTGTGATTATTTTTTTGGTCAGCTTTACTAGTACAGGTTGGATGGTCAAGCGACAGTTACCCAAATTGTATGGGTCCAGTTGCAATTACTACTTAATGTTTTTGTCAATGCTCTAATTTTATATTTGGTCTTGTAGATTCGGCCCCAGAACTGCTGTGTCTGATGACGCAGAGTAAGTTGTCTTGTGTTCACAAGATTCTGTTTTAAACAACTTACACTGCATGCTTTTCCGTCTTCTTACTGATTTAAAATACAGTTGATGCCTCATTATTATTTTGCAGTGTTCCAGCAAAAAAATTTTTCAGAAAAGCACTGAAAAATGGAATGCAATATGCCTTACATTGCAGCTAAAAATAGTATTTATTATAAGCCCATAAAAACTGAGCGTAATGCTAATGTCCAACTGTTGCTTAAAGTATTGTTTCCTTCCTTTTCCTTTTCCTTTTCCCTTTCCTTTCCTTTCCTTTCCTTTCCTTTCCTTTCCTTTCCTTTCCTTTCCTTTCCTTTCCTTTCTTTTTTTCTTCTGAATTTCCATTGCCTCTAATCAGCTACAGGTAAAGAGAGCTGGGTTGTATCTTGGCTGGGTGTTAAGTTAAAAAATGAAGTATGACCTGTACAGTCAGAAAAATGAGATCCCAAGGTAAAATGAAATCCATTGTGAATAATTACCAGGAAAATGCATCTTCAGTTGCTCCTTTATTGTATTTTTCAAATTTTTTCTTGAATCCCTTCTAGGTTGAGTTTAATTTATTAATATGCTAAACATCACTTTTTTTAAGGTCTTCACCTCAATGCTTTACTTTTCACAGAAGGAGCAAGACTGTAACATATATTGTGCTCAAACATATTTTAATTGCATGTGGGTGCATGTAAACTGTAGCTCAGAACAGTATGCAATGTCTTTTAGAAAGCTCTGTGAAAGTATTAGCTATTTTTACAAAGTGCAGACATTCAGAAGCAAATAAATAGTTGGGAACTACCCACGTAATAGTGTCCTTAATACCCTTCTTCTGTTCACAGAAATGCCCATGATCTTCTCTGTCTCCCAGATTAAATCACAAAAGGGAAATAGCATAGAGGTTTTTTAATAACAAGTATATTCAGAGTGTCATATATTTTTTCACCATTTCCTCTAGTGATAAAGGCTAGAATCATGGACTGAATATTCTTTACAGGATCTGTAATACCTTTATGCTGTGCAAAGCCTGTGTCCTCCGACCACAGGGTAAATGTAGTAATTTTCAAGCAGCAGAGATCTTTTCAATCAAATTAAGAGATGAGACAAAATGAGTGTAACAACACAGGAGTGTTATAGTTAACAATGAAGAGTTCCCTGCCATTTCAGAAAGCCTACCTATCTGATCGATTTTTTCATTTGTTTTCCCACATTTTTTGCATGTCTGTATTAAACGCAAACATGAGAGAAGGTACATGGAGATGCCTTCAAAAAGGCATTGCAATGCATTTGGTTGTATAATGTAAGAGTAGCAAAGGTGAATAAATGATATTGTTTATTCTACATTGGTTCTGATTTTGTTTTAAAATGCAAAACAATAAATGTCCCAAGCCTCATTCTTATCCATTCCAGATGTTGCCATGGTTTACAGAGCAACTATTTTCCTAAACTGTCTTTAAAGTTCTTATAAACGTAAGATTGTGGTTTTCCTTCTGAAGATGAAGTACTTACAAAGAATCTAATAACATTTGGCTCTCAAGTAGGAAAAATAAATTGAACTGACATTTAAAATGCTTCCAGAATGTGTGTCAAGTCTCCTTTGAAAACTAGTTTGAATTCAGTCTTAGACTAGGTGCTGTTTATTCCAGCAGCAAAACTAGAAATGCCCTTTTTTAGACTGACAAAGTTCCCTTCATTGGTTAGTGAATGCTAGATGTTGTCATCAGTCCTGGTCTGTCTCAAGGTTCAGAAGAGGCAATGCTTAGTGTGTTGCTCCTGATCAGCCCCATTCCCATCTCCCAAAGAGATGGGGCTGAGCTCTGGTGGTAGTGTGACAGTCCAGAGAGGTTAGGCTTATGCTTTAAGCCTGACAAGTGACATATAGTGAGCTGAGATTTTTGAGTATTTGTTTGCCAGAGTCTGATTCTTTAGCCAGCCTGTCACCTCTTATGTTTTGTTGGGGTTTCTTAAGTCTTAGTATGTCTGTAAAATGGAGCCACATAATAAGTGCCTTGCATAAGGTTTTTTAACTTATTCTCATAAAAAGAAGGTTTTTACCTCATTTCTCACTTTCAAGTTAAATAACCTGGATGTTCAAGTCCTTGAGGACTTTTTTTATCCAACAGTTGTTCAGACCTGTGTTTAAAAAAAAAAAAATGCTGCATGATATCACTGACAAGTAATTTGCGAGAATAAAGAAGCATAATTTAAAAATCACATCATCCCAAAGATCTAGCACTCCAAAATACGTTATTGGTCTGCACAGTGTTTCTTCCCAGAACAGCAGATCTGGTACACTGGTTAGCAGAAAGGCCTCTTGCTTCCAAACAGTTTGGATACAATCCCCAGAGCTTTGCTAACAGCAGAAAATTCATGAACATGAATTCAGTACACTTCCATCTCCTCCATCTACTTGCGTGCTGTGTGCCCACTGGCCCAGCGCATGGTTGAAGGAAGGAGTAAATCTGGTCCTGTTCCTGCAGGTGTTACTGATGGGCTGGAGCTGTTTGTAGTTTATATAAGAAAGAAATAGAATTAAATGCTATGGGACTCACAGTGAAAGTGTCTTTTGTCAGAAGCTCAGAGTTTTGGCCTCTTTGATTCCTTGCTAAGGATGAACTTGTTAGGCAGAGAACTGTATGTAGACCTTTCACTTGGCCTTGTCCATGTATTCAGGAAAGTAGGTGGTTCTCCTTAATGGTTATTATATGTTGGTCAGAGCAGAGCACAGTGCTTTGAGATGTGACTCCTTCAGATGGCTCTCTTGGGAAGATAGGTGAGGACAGGAGGTGACAACTAGAGTAGAAGATGCATGTGGGATTGTAGCATATAGTTTGATTCCTGATCTAGGCTGAAGCTTTTTCCAGGGTACCTTTTTTAGTGCATTGTTAATAGCCGTAAAACCTTTGGTTTTGCTGTCTCTGTGTACCCTGAGAGACCTGAGTGAATGCAGGGAATAAATGCTTGCCTTTCATTAAGACATCAGGGGACTCTTGGTAAAATATTTTTATTTTCCTATCCCAAATGGCAGAGGGTGAGTACTTGTGCACTCTGCTAGAACCAGTTACCACTATTTCAGGTCGTCTGTTTTCTTCCACTGTATGTGGATGAAAATGTTCTGTCCTGAGGAAAGGGTACAAGCAGGGAGCTACACAACCAGTTTGACCCAGTAGGCACAAGGTAGCAAGTACTTAACCCTAAACGCTTTTCTTAGTGTGAGTTTCAAAAGCTCTTAAACTGGAATAAACCCTTTAAGGGTGACTTTATTACAAGTTATGCATCTCCCCACCTACCTCACCAGTCTGCAGAATGTGGCTGGTATTTAAATGTTCCTTAGTGGGTGATATACTTTTAGTTTTAAAAACAACAAAACTTACCATCTCTTCAGATTCTGTTATTTAGGCATGCTCCAATCCAATCCTGAGCAGTGCAACCCTTAAATTACCCACAGAGAAACCTAAATTAGTATGCCCCTCAGCACTCGAAGGGGTAAAGTACAGTAAGATGCTACCTCGCTTGAAGGCAATAGGATCCATATTATCCTTCATTTCTGAGTAAATACCTACGAACAGGATGGAATCTGTGCATGTCCTTTTCCACCCGCTGTCCAGACCTTTCAGTTTCCCTTGAGAGTGGTTCACTCCCATCTTTGCTTGCCTGAATACAAATGTTGGCTAAATACATATATGCAAAGCTTTCCATGTCTATTCACTTTGATTACTGCGGACACAGTTGCCTACAATTTTATCTTCATTGGGTGCTTCTCCTGCTAGTTGGCTTGCTGGCTCACCTAAAGCTACAGATGATCACTTGAAGACTGCTGTGAAAAAATCACTTCATGTGGAACTGCATGGCTTTTTTTTTTTTTTTTTTTTTGCTTTTAATGGCACAACTGAGGTCGTGTTTTACTAATAACAGATAGTAGGGGAGGAGTAGTAAGTATGTTATCTTCATGTGGAGATCTTCATATAATATGAATGAATGTATAATATCAAACCATGACCATTTTTTCCTTTAACACTCCAAAGGCCAGGGACAGAAGTAGAGTGTGTAGAAAGAAACTGTTTTTTCCTTGTTAGGTCATCTGTATTAATAAGTTGGTGCTGATAGCAGTGAGTTTCTTTGAGGCAGGGAGGGGAGAGGAGGAAGTACCATGCTGTTTGCGCTGTGTGTACTTCTCTGGGCAGGCTCTCCGTGGTTTTGTAGGAGTAGCATTTAGCCTGTCCCTAATATACTTCTCAAGCCTCTCTTGTTTTACACTGAAGTGGAAATTTCTGTCTGTGGTATTAATTGGAGGGGTCTTGAAAACTCAGTGGGAAACAAAGTTTCAGAAAGTAAAATGTTCTGAACTCAGCTCTGAATGGAATAATTTTAATAAGAGCTGTTGATGGAGGTGTAATGTTAGTAGCACTTCTTAGCAAGAGACAAACTTGCTGTCAACTAACAAAAACAAGAGAAAGTTGAGGAGTATAATGCCCAAAGTACTCTGTGGGAGCCACATGGATGCTAACTGGTCCTTCTGGCAGACTGCTGCTTTTGGGAGCTTCCTAACAGTGCAGGTGTCTGATTCTGCTGTAACACCCTCATGTGGCTTTAACTCTAACAAGCTGAAGGAATATAAGCCTCTAAATAATGCTGCACCACTTTTTATTCCCCCTGTGTTTAGGAGTATGAGCATGTTTGACATGAGATGTGAAGAAGAAGCTGTGACTCAGCCTCATAGCAAAGCTCGCCATGAGAAACTGCAGAACGTACACAACCAGCTGAAAGAGGACGAGACCAGATGGCAAGATGTGAGTATGCAGCATCATTGTCTGCAATGCTGGCATTGTGGCCAACTAGCTAGGCAAAAAAGTGCAACCTGCTAATCTCTAGCACTAAAATAATCCAGAGCTTCCCCCCACCAATGGCTTGTTGCTAAAAGCATAGTAGTTCATAATTTGATGTAAATTACAGAATACAGGGTCTTCTGATGCCTCTGCCTGTGCACCCTGTATTTTACTTTTTAAAAAAATGTAATTAAACTGCGATTAGGTAAAAATGGAAGCAGAAAAGCTTCTAACTGATGATTTCTCTAACTTTTATAATCAGTAAATACCCAAAGTGACAAAATACAAGACTAAGCAGGACAGTGAATAAATAGGTTGGTCTTGGCTTTAATAAATTTGCATAGATGTAGAAAACGCTAACATTTTCCATCTTGTACAAGCAAACAAATTACTCTTCAAGTTAGCAACACCCTGCTTGGGTTACAAATCCTTTCCAAACCCTCTTTCCTCAATGTTTTTTTTTAAGCTGTCCTAGCATTTGGCAGTATCTTCAGCAAATTAGTAAGGACAGAAAAGCATGGTTTGCAGGTGAGTTAGTATCAGGAGTTTTAGTATCAATCCTGTTCATTCTTAAAGACTGATTTTAAATGAGGAATTTTGAGCATATTTTTAAATTAAAAACCAACCAAACAAGCAAACAAAAGCATATTTCTTCAAGCAGCTAGTACAATAATTTCCCATGATAAGGACAGCTACCGTGAAACATCTCGGAGAGGTTTTTGGTAGAAAATTCAAGGAAAAGTCCAAAAAAGAACAACATATACAACTAAGAAATAACTTTTCACAACAGAAAAATGAAAGATTTCAGCTGAGAGGTTTGTATGTGTGGGAAGCCATAATTTCCCAGCAGAGATAAGAATGAGTCCAAAGGCATTCAAGAGGTTTGAGAACTATTTACTGTTGAATGGAAAATCCTCTGAGCTAAAGTGCTTAAGTTTTCCAGGCCCTCAGCACCTTCTATACTGAACTGAAAGTTCTGAAGAGCCACTAAAAATGCCCTTACTGGAATGTCCTTGGCATTCAAAGGACTTTATGGAGACGACACCGCATTCATGGTTGGGTATTTTTTTGTATGCCCATGCTGTAAATTTGCCAACAATTAACAGTTTCATGGCTTTTTTATTATTATTGTTATTCTAAAGCATCAGAGCTGGAAAAGATAAACATGTCTGGTTTTTAATTACAAAAGAGGAGGAAGGCTTCTGTTATGAAATTTGCTAATGAAAAACTAATTTCCAAACAACAGGCAATAGTGGGAGTAGCTGAATAAAGAAATGCTTTGGTACTTCAATGAGAATAATTAGTAACTGAGGAAAATGAAAGGCCTATGTTTCAAAAAGGGGATTATAGACTGATATATGTAGGTCATGTGAAGAAATACTTTAATGAGCATTCCCTTGAGTGTAATGTCAATAATTTGTGGTTTTAAGCTAAATTAAAAGTGACAAGGTTTGTTCCTGGTTTTAATAAAATAAGTTATGCTTGCAGTACCTTCTGCTGTTTACCAATAAAAATGCAATTAAAATATTTTGTAAACCATGTAATTAATGAAATTGCCTTTGAATTGAGTTTGTGTACAGAATATGGTTTTTATTAAAACCAGAATTTGTTAGAGTGCATGAAATATAATCTGTGTACTAATCTCCTGATGTTGTAAAGTTAATGACAGATGTGTCCTTACAGTTTCCTAGGAAGTTATTTTAATTTGTAGAACTTCTGCAGAGGTTGGTTTTTTAACATGTAAAATTTTGTTCCTTTGCTAGTTGGCTGCAAATAAATTTTACAGCATAGGAAACTTCTTCACTGTAATACTTTTACAGTGAAAAAGATCTTGTCTGTACACTCTCTAGAACTCATGAATCCGTAACCCAAGCAGGATGCAAGACATAGGTGCCTGTAACAGGTATCTCCTGTGACTCTCTGGTTTATTGTTAGGCTGGCTTTGCAAGGGCAAAGAAGCAGAATCAGTGGATCTTCTGGACAATTTTGGGCAATTTTTCCAAAAACAGTAAGATCATGACTTCAACAAGGACATATCTATATAGCTGAATACAAACTATAGGCTTTTTCCTGTCATGTCTCACACCAACCAGGTGTTAGCTGCTTTAGTCCCTAACCTGTGTTGCTCAGATCTGGGTCCAAAACATTGGAGGGTGCCCATGAGGAAGAATTTAAGTTTGGATGCCGCACTGGATTTTTCTGTCAAAAAAAAGAAAAAGCATGGGTCAACCATACCTGCTGTGATGGGTTTGCCCTTGGCTGGGGGCCAGACCACATACCCACTCACCCAATCCCCCCCCTACCTGAGGACAGGGGAGAGAATTAAAGGGGTAAAGGGAAAAAGGACTCGTGTGTTGAGATAAGAACAGTTGAATAACTAAACTACAATAATATTGAAAATAATACTATATACAGATATACAAATGCGTGATACACAGTGATACTGCCCCCCACCCGATGACCAAGGCTCAGCTTGTTCCCTGGTAACAATCCTGGAGCAGAGAGAGTCCCGAAACTG